GCCGACGGGCCAACCGGGTGATGCCCGTTTATCCATCTATCCACAAGCTCCTCCTATTCGTGCACAAGATGTGTGGTGGGGTGACGATAGATATAGTGAAGAGAGGAGGGGAAAAAAAAAAAAAAAGGACAAGGTATCATAGTGTAATAGTGTAGTGTATCGTACGGTATCGTACCGGTAACGGCGCTCCGCGGGGGAGGAGGAGGAGGGGGGGGAACCCAAAGAAAAACTATTGGTACTGGCGGAAGATTGTGAAGTGTTCACTTCCCACTCCTGCTCCCCTCTCCGTTGGCGAGATGGGTGGTCGGGTAAGATGGGTATACATACAACGCCGGTACTTCCGAAGCGGAGGGGGGGGATAGATGGTGATGATGACGCTAGCCAACGGAGAATAATAATTTTTTTCCGCACCGGAGCATCAAGTACGTATGATGCTGCTGAGTGCCATATCGTGTACTGTACGGCAATATCAACGAGCAACCGGTACTCATAGAAGGCATAATAACATCATAAGGCGCAACCATCATCATCATCATCACAATACTTAGTAAGCCGTTTCTCCTCCGCACGCGTATGCGTTAAATTTAGAATAGCGTCATCGATAACTTGTTCAGCATGAGTTACAGTACCGGCAGCCCGGCGTACTACGTACTCGAGCACGGTACCGTACTGGAGTGCCTTACTCCCGAACCTGATGGATGACCTGTGGTATGTACTAGTACAGTACAGTACAGTACTCGCTGACCGACCCGGCCGGATGACTTTTGTTATACTGTACAATACTCTACTCCACTGTACGTGCGGCGCTCACTTGGGGGGAAGGAGGGGGGGGATGAGATCATGTCAACCAACCTATCCCAGCAGAGTGCGGTGCAGTGCAGTGCATACTGTGGTTCGGACGCATGACAACTCTTTTTCACCGTACTGTACTGTTCCAGTTACTGTAACGCAAATCAAGAGAAGCTCAGCATGGGATCTTTTCTTCTTGCCAGCATGATTACTGCGGTAGTTAGGAGTATGGACGGGCGGGTGTGTGTGGGGGGGGATGGATGGGAAAAACCCACCTTATTCAGTCGATCGGAGGCGCGTTGAGGAGTGAGATATCGTGCCCTCCCCACCCCCTTTATATTTACACTTTTTTTTTTTTTTTTTTTTTGCTGGGGACCGTTGTTGCTTGGGGTTCGTTTGTTGATGCTTAGCTTTGGATAAGCTATATGTTTGTCGTGTCATAAATATCATGAATTGCCATAGCTTTTTTCTTTTTCTTTCTCTTTTTTCCCCTCTCCTTGGTTCATTCGCTGAGAGCTTGACCGGAGCTCGGAAATATACTCGGAGTGAGGGCCGACAGGATAAGGAGGAGGGAGGTTGAACGAATCTACCGAGTCTTTGTGCTACCCTCTTGAGCCTCATTTGTCTAGAGTGTGATAAGTTATCATACGTTTTGGCAACCACGCTGCACAGATGGGAAGCGAAGGGAAGGGAGGGGGTTAGAACACGAAACGAATCTCTTTTTTTTTCTTTTTCTTCTCGGTTTCCACGTTTTCATTAGGGCTAACGTACTCGTACAATACCAAATCGTGCCTATCAAATATCGGTACGGCAGTGGTCAAAATTTTGGCCTCCAACAAAAAATGGGAAAATTTACTCACAATGAAAGAAAAAAAAAAATAAGGCGAATCATCATTTTCGGGATGGGAGAAGGACACTCGCTGCCTGCGCGTGTTCCAACCAACACCTTATCAAAAAGATCCGATACGATGCACACATAACCATTTCGCCATCTTCCCTATGATACCCCGGTACCGTCCGCATCATACTCACCACCTCCTCCTCTTCCTCCTCCTCCGGTAAGCTACGAGTAAGATCTAATTTCAAACCATCTTCACAAGTCGCCGAAAATGGGAAAATTCCTCAGCCCGACACGCACCACTTGCGGGTAGACAGTCGTGCAACAGTTTCCCCGCCCGCTCTTTTTCTCTCTCTTTTTTTTTTTTTTTCCTTCCCCTCGAACATGAATGGCCCAAGTCATCCAGCCACAAGAAACACACGAGTGCTCAGGTTACCGAATACCGAGCCCTTTAGCCCCCCCTTTCGCCCAGGGCTCCCCTGCCCTCTTCCTTCGCCCCGGGGATGTGCGATGGAGTGTGAAATGGAGGAAGGCAGACATAAAACGCGAAACACGATTAAAGGGTCCCCGGTACCGGCCGCCGCGGTAATGGTACAGTAGATTGGTAATCGTTTAAGTAACTCACCCTAGCCCTCCTAGGGTGATCTGTGATTGGACGGGGTTGGATCGTTCGGTCCGTTCATCCGTCGCTCCCGGGGTGATTCAATGACAAACACCTCGGGTTCCATTAAATTTGTCTTTGACATTTATTTTCTATTTTCTATTTTCTTTTTTTTTTACGGCTGGGTGCATTTCAACCTAATTCCACATCCGGGAAGATGGTCAGCAACAATAATCATATTGATAACGGCGTGTTGTTGCTGTCATTGTTATTGTCAGTTGCCGGGCTGTTGGAGTTGCCTTTGTGCGGTATGATACAAACGGTTTCGCTGGCGTTCAATGTGCGAATGAACAGCACCGGTAGATGATGCAAATAGCCGGGTGAGAAAGTATCGTGCTGGTCTAGCTAATGATGAGGGGGGAGGGAAACAGGGCAAGACAACAGAGGAATGCACCTCATTAATGGGAGAGCGCATGATGTCCGGCCGCGCGGCGAGACGATGGGCGCGTGGCCGGGATTGTTCTGTTTGAAAAAAAAAAAAAAAGCCGTCTACCGGTATTCTTCCATTCTCCCCCTAATTCATTCAATTCACTGTAACCAGTGAGCTCAATCATGCTCGGAGGTTGAAGGAAATGGAAGGGAGGGAGGAAAGGGGGAACTTTTCCTTATATCTCTCCCTTCCCTTCCGGTTTCTCATGTTGAGTGTTCCGTTTCGTTTCTCCCGAATCAGATATCGAAGGAAGGGGTCCACCTCCAAGGGGGGAAAAGAGAAAAAAGAAAAAAAGGTTAACCGTGGATCTGAATCGTGTCGTGCAAGACGACATCTTATAAAGTGATACAAGTACTCGAGTACAAGACAAGCATGCTTGATTGATCTGCGCATGATGATTCTGATGTGTGCGTGCCTATTATGATGATTGCTTTTTTCCCTGTTTCTTTCTTTCTTCCTCCCTTCCTTTCCCTTCGGGATGTGCCTGCGCTGGGTCTTGCTTGTCCCGTTGGCGCTCGGTTGGAGCGATTCAACAAATTTTGCCATTTCCATTCGAAGCCACTTCCCGTTGACCGGGTGGGGCCCGTTCAGCGTGAGGAGCTCTTGCTTGCCTGCCGCGACTCGGGTTTAAATTTTTTTTTTTCGCAGACTTCATTGCCTCAAATCCAAGTTTCCCTACATGCCGTATCCTGTCCAGTCGTATGGCAAACCGCCGCCTTATTGTACGAGTACGGTAATCCTCATCCAGCTATAGGGTGATATGACACTACCTAGCGCCGTATCATCCATAATACAAGTACTCTAGCAACCGGTACGGTGATGTAGTAATAATGATGCACCAGAGTCTCCGATCCGAATTGCTTCCGTTCCCTTTTTCCCATCGCCGCAAAAAAAAAAAATTCTTTCCCGGCTCGACAGCGCCTTTGGGTGAGGGGTGGCAAGGGTTGGTGGTGGTGGTGGTGGTTGTTGTGGCACTCCTTGTTATTGTGTCGGGAAGCTGCCTATGATGTGCCAATGCCTTTGCCTTTGCCTTCGGAACGGGAAAACCAACCGGCAGAAAGAGCAATCGAGCCTTCTGCAAACGGACGGAACCTGATACGGTATCGCACCGTCGTTCTTTCTTTGTGGGTGGGGTGGGTTATCGTAACACCGGAAAGGTCCCGGAAGGCGGCCGCGCTCTGCAGCTGTGGAGTTTTTCTTTTCTTTTTTTCCCTCTTCTTTTCGTTTTCCTTCCTTTTTTCTTTTCGGCCTTTCCTCTCTTCCTATTTCCTTCCTTTTCTCCCCCGTTCCCTTGGCCTTTCATGTACGGTGCTGCACGATTGGTCGTAGGAACAGAGTAAAACATACTCGTATCATAGTTTCCTCCCCGAGAGAAGGATTGGGGTATGATAGCATATACTGGTAATATCATAGGGTCGGGTTCCTGTCAGGGGGGAGAGGGGGTTTGGGAGCGGGAGATGTGTGTGATGGGGAAAAGCAAATACGGTACGGTAAGGTGATCCGGAGAAACCAAGGAGATACATATCATGGCTACCGGTGGAAGGATAAACAGTGATGCAGATGATGCTCGGCATATGTAAGTGTGTAATGTTCATATTGCACCAGTATCTCGGCTCATGACGGGAGCTCTGGAGACAGGACTTCGCTACTTGTACCATATTCCTCAATCTCGGCTGAGAGAAAAGGATAGAAGGGGGGAAAAGGGGAAAAAAGAGGAGGGATTGTGGAGAGAGGCGCTGTGCCGAGGTATCGACGTGGATTTGTCACCCATTGATCGATGAGGGCAGATGGTGAGGGGGACTCAAAGGCTATGTTCCCATGCTCGAGCGCATACTCGAGTGCGAGTATAGATACAGTACCGGTACTGTGCGAGTGCTGGTATGATACATACACCACGGCACTTCGTGTTGATAACCTATCATGGATGAGTACGAGTAGGCTGGCCCGTGACACAAATGTTCCCTTGCCTTTCTCCCCGGCTTAACTTACGGCATGTCGTTGTTGCTTGCATTGTCACTCCTGGGGCTGATTCCGTGTTGGCCGGCAAACCCCTACCGGCAGTCCAACAAATTTAGCTATCATCACCTCACAAGCACCAGCACCGGCACCACCAGCACCACCACCAGCACCACCACCGCTATTACCACCACCACCACCACCACCACCGCGTAACCACCACCTCCAACCATCAGTGCCATCACCCCTCCCCTAACCTTCATCATTTTCTTTCCCGCCCGCCCGCCCCGGCGTGTCCCAATTAGTTCGTTTCTCCGACTGGGCGAATGCCTCAGCTCCGTCTTGGAAGATCTATGGGGGTTGGCGGTAGGCGGTTGGCTGGTCCCATCGGAGAGGATATAGCCGATGCTGGCAACCGAGAATTTAGGGGGAACGCCAGAGGCGAGGAGGAGAGAAGGAAGGAGGGAGCAAAATATCTTTCCCCCCCCCTCCATTTATTTTTAAATTATTTTTGCACCAGAAAACAATAATAATAATTTCATTCCTCTGGCGAGCCGGAGTGCCGACACCTCCGAGGGGGGGAGGGAGCCAGCAGGAGGCTTAACCCCCCCTCCCCCCCTACAAATCCTTTCCCTCCTTCTCCCTCCTCTCTCGTGTTGCCCGGTGGATTGGGGGAGAGGAAAAAAGGAATACATAAGAAATAATGCGAGGTCCGGCTAGAGCGCTAATTAAAAATGTATTGTTATTATTATCACCTTTTTAACGATATCTTACGGGATATAATTACAGGGCATATAGTGAGGCTGGCAAATAATGTTTTTGTACCAAAAGGCAAGAGTAAAAAGTACTCGTACTGTACTCGTACAAAGTGAGGGGATGGAACAGAAGGAAAAAAAAAAAAGGGGGGGAGATCCGGCACAAACAAGAGGCGAGGGAGAATGGAAATTTTTAGGAGTAAAACATCCCCGAGCTCAGTAGTAATACCGTGTCGTTGTGTTATGCGGAAACAATTTTTCGGACCCAGATATCACCAGGGAGAGGGAGAGGGAGAGGCAGAGGGAGAAAGCATAGTTTACCGGTAGTAGCAATAAGCAGGTAACAGGGAGTTCAGTAGCACGACTTAGGTGGGTGCAGGATATTTACGGAGGCTGTGATAGTTACACGACTCGGGTTCAGAAGGACTCTATGCTGGGCCACATGGAAGGAATGGGCCTTCGGTCGGCATGTCTGTCTGTGGGTGCTGTGCTCTGCGCTCTGCATTGTGGGCTCAGAGTTACTGCCTATCTGTCCATCGGTATGTTTGGTTGGCTGAATTGGGGAGGGTGGAGAAAGGTGAAAAGGAAGGGAAGGGAATGGAGGGATGGATGGGTGGATGGATGGCGGAGTGGGCACGGCAATGTCCTGTCGCCCTGGTGAACTCGCCCTGGTGAACTCTTCCGGAATGTGAATTGAGGCAGAACGAAAAAGCGTTCAAGCAGAGTGAGAGGGTGTGGATTAGTCCAGTGGCGGGATGTGAAGTAAGTGGCATTACAGCAAAATATGTCAGCGGGAGAGAATGGGTATGATATGAATGATTGAACGAGCGAGTGAATGGATGGATGGGAGGGAGGGAGTGCTGGTACAGTATGTGCCCTGTTTCTTCTACATATGGGAGTTGCGCCCTATGTACGTACCGATGATACCGGCACAGGGAGCCACCAAAAGATTTCAAGAAGCCAACGGGATCTGAACCCACGCATAACCTTTGCCCTTCCTTCCCCGTCCCTATTCCCTATTCTCCGCCGCTATCCTAACCTCCCCCCCATCATCCCATCCAATCCACCCCCCTCCTTCCCTTCCCTTTCCTCACCAACTCACCCAATCCTCTAGGCACGCAGTAGCAGCTTGCCGACCAAAACCGGAGGCCTCCCCCGTGTGCGTCCGCCTGACCTTAGACCGGCATCTCCGTCTCCCTTCCTTCCCTCCTCTTCCCTTCTTTCCCTCGATCCACCCCCTTCCTCCCTCCCATTCCACACTTTTCCCCTCCACCTCCACAACATTTTTCCTTCATCAACATACCTTCACTCGATAGAGCACTGTTGTTGTTACGTTGTTCAGTTTTGGCCTACCCGCGAGTACCCTACTCCGAACCTCCATCAACCACACCTGGGAATACGAGTACCGCATTGAATTTCCTCCTTGGAATCCCTTCTTTGGTCGTCATTCGCAAACAACATCCTTCAACCCTACTTTAGGCGATCTGGCCTCTGCTTGTTCCCTTGGCTGCCAATTGGGATAGTTAACTATTCGTCGATTTCGGCAACCATTGCCGTTTATTGATCAACAGTCTGGTGAGTTCGGCCCGGATGGGAGTCCGTATGATTCAATCGCCGCTTTCTCGGCCATCATCTGCATTCGCGACTGGGCACTGACGCTAGCATATTTTCGCAGTTTTCTTTTCTTTTCTTCTCTTCCCTTTCTTTCCTTTTTCTTTCTCCTTCGGAAAGCTTTCCCTGCCTACTACCTAAACTCGCAACATAGGTCCCACCACACCTGCGCGTTTCTTCATTCGGGATAATAATAATCAAACCATGCGGTCGTCTATTGCTTGCGTCCGCTGTCGGCGGTCCAAGGTAAAGTGTGTCAATGTTGGGCCGAACACAACTTGCCGCGCCTGTGAGGCCAGCAATAGAGAATGCACGTATCCGGCTCCTGTCACTAGTGGCACACCTAGGGCCGCGTCCGGTGCGACTCCCTCAAGGCCAAACACCAGCGGCTCGGGTGCGAACAAGGACCTTGCGCCAAATGTTGGTAGTGCCTCGTCACATCACGGACATACGGGTGGAGATAGACCAGAGGTTCGTTTATTCCATCGGATTCGAGGCGCTGTGGTAACTTTGACCAATATTTTTTTGATTCGATTAGGCCACGAAGAAAGCGAAGCCCAAGAAAGCAGCTCCCTCTGGGGGCGCTGCAGCTAGCGCAGCGAATTACACAGGGCCAAAAGCATGGAAAGAAGCGCTTGGTTCCCCTGTCTTGAACCAGGCCCTTTTGACCCAAGTTGTAAGTCCCATTGTTGGCCTCTGTTTTGGGGTTTTGCGCTAAATATATCGTCATTGCAGTTCGAGGCGTTTCAACTGCATCACTCGCCTACACTTCCGTTCCTTCATCCTCCCACCTTTCTCTCGCGGTTGCGTCTACCAAATTCAACACCCGCAAACACTGGACCCAGCTCTACATCACCTCCGGCACCTGATAGAGGTCATTCTCCATTGTTGATGCTGGGTCTTCTTTGCCTTGCTTCACGTCATGTATCCGCCCTCTCACAGCACTTCGCGCCGGCACTGCCCACTCCGGCAGCTGTTTCAGATTTTTACGCATCGGCGCTCAAATATCGCTTGCAGAACGATGAGGATGTCGGCCACGGTGAACTTGGCGCAACTTTCGCCACTCCCTCTTTGGAGAAGGTACAAGCTATTTCCATGCTAGTTGTGCACGAGTGGGGGATGTGCCGTGGGGCGGAAGCTTATGTTTGGCTTGGTGTGGCTATTCGGATGGCTATGGCATTGGGGCTGAGTTGGGATGACGCTCCAGAGCCAGGCTATCCGATTTCAGAGCCTGCTCTTTCTCCTGGAAATGGCGATAGAAATGAAGGTAGCCCTAATTCCAAGAGAAGGAGACTGGAAGGTGGGAAGTCTACAGGTGCCAAGGTCACCGGGAAAGAGTTTACGGATAAGGAAGTTAGAAGGAGGACGTTTTGGGCTTTGTTCATGTTGGACCGTTCGTTGGGTTCTGGTAGGTTTAGGCCGAGCGTGATCCAGCTTGCGGATGCTGCGAGGGTCCAATTGCCTTGCGAAGAGAGAGGATTCCTGTTTGGGGAGGGTGTACGAACTGGGTTTTTGACTGTCGATGGCCTGGATGAAAGGGGCGACGATAGGAACGGTGATAGCATTGGAGGGCGATGGGAGGTTGGAGATGATGAAGGAATCCTCGCAAAAGTAGTTCGCATTACAGAGATCTGGGGGAGAGTGCAGTCATGGGCTTGCGCGGCTGGAGGTAGGAGGTATATAATTCTGGGCTAATTCTCGGGCATTTTCCGGCGTACTAATGATCGATAGAAGCGAAAAATACCCACCTTGGTCTCCTAGGTCGAATTTTTACAAGCTACAGCATATGCTGGACGACTTCCACTCTTCGCTCCCCGAGCACCTTCATTTCTCACCCCAAACACTCTCTGCGCACATGTCTTCGCGCACCTCAAGCGCGTATGCCGTTATGCATATAACTCATTTTTTATGTCAGGTTGTGATGCATAGGGAGTACATCCCATTCTTGCCTCTTCGCCTCACTAGACCCCAAGGCCCGCTCGACCCGCCCTTGTTTCCAGCTGACGATCCTGAAACCGATAGGGAAGGGTTGGAGCCTGGCATGACAATAGCTATGTGGTGGGAAGAGTCTGCTAAGGAAGTATTCAGATGTGCTAGAGGGATAATGCAGATTGTCAATGGGTTGGAGGAATGGAACAGCTCTGTCGAGACGCCTGCCATCGGGTTTGCTGTCTACATGGTTGGGGTTTGTGGTGTCTATGCTTGGTCTTTCCCTTGGATGGATCAGAAGGGGTATATCACTGGGTCCATTCCCGATCCCGCTAGCAAGTCGCCTAGTCATTCTGGGGACGACGAGGATGAGAATATGGAGAGCGGTCGCGGGGCAAGGGAACCGGAAGGTTCCGGAGCAGAAGCTAGGAAGGCAATTGAATTGATCACTAAGATGAGGGAGAGATGGAAGATGGCTGAAGAGTGGTATTTGACTTTGGGGAGACTGCGAAACTATTTCAAGACAATTCGGGATGAATACGTTCGCCTTCATCGCCCTGGGAGCGACACCGAGGGAGCCGCTGGTCCAGTCGCTGGAGAATCGGCGGAAGCTGCTGTTGCCAGAAAGTTGAAGCAGGGTCTCGGAGGTGGATTTGAGGAATATCGCCGATTTGAAAAGCTATTCCATGATTTTAGTGGAATGGATGAAGGCGAACTTGCCACTAACGCTCGTGCTGGGATATCGCCTGACGTCAAACCCGGGAGTCGGGCCAACGCTTCGGAGGCGGGAGCTGACCATCCCACCACTGCTGAGATCAAAAAGGAGGTCAAACGTGAGGGAGATGTCGATGCTCTCCTTCTTGCTGTCACTGAAGGTGCCTCGGCCGAAGCTACTGGCGGTGGTGGGGGAGATAGATGGATGGCCATCAATACACCCCGTCAAACCCAACAACAGCAGGCGCAGGTGGCCCCTCAACCGCAAGCGCCCGCGCAAGGTCAGGCGGATGGTGGCTTTCTTGCATCTTTGGCAACTTTTGCAGCAGGTCAAGAACCGATGCCTCAGAATAACACCAGCCCGAGCCCGGCTGCTGCACATCTCAAGTCACAAGAACCTTCCACTATGGCTCCGCCTCCGGTGGGTGCGGTGTCGGGCCCTAGCCAAGGGCAGACACAAGCGGCTTCCTTGGGTGGTGGCGATGTTTCCCCCCCCGCGGTGCGCAGCACCATCCAGAAACAACTATCTCCACCACCAAAGCCGACGCTAGACCAACCAAAGCCGAACCCGGAACTAGTGAAGAAGCTTACTGAACACGAACAGCTCCAACGTGAGGTTGACAAGGGCGATAAATGCGGAGGGACTGAAGACGTCGCGGTGTTTGTCAATGGTCGCGGTATCACAGAATGGACACCGGGAGATAGCTGGTTGGGTGGTGATGGGATGTGGGAGAAGTAGTCAGGGCTTGGCCGTTCGGTGGCCCTGGGGTTGGTATGACACTATTTGCGATCATGGCCTTGGTGCTCTGGTTTTTGGGGTTTTCATTTCGGTTGGGATTAATTTAGTTCTTTTTTTCCCCTCTCTTTTTTGGCGGCTGCGGGAATAATCCATTTCTTTATTTTTTCATTCATGTTTGGCTTTGTATAAAAGAAAACCCCGGGGACCCTTCTTTTCTTCCCTCCCTGGTCTTCACTTCTCCCCTCTTCGCTTCATCTAACACATTTTCGTTGGGCTTAGGGCATTCATGGCTGGTGAAATAAAAAAACGGGTATTAGTGGGATTTTGCTTCTTTTTTTCATAATTTCGATTCGTCCCTTTTTTTTTTTTTTTTTTTTTTTTAGCTTACCAATTGTACTTGTATGACCAATGTTTTTTTTGCTTCGTTTTGTTTTCCCTGCGGTTTGAACCTTTCCTGAGCTCTACATTCTCACATACAGATATTCCGAGAACCGGACTCCAAAAAAAAGGAAGTGAGGGTCTCTCTGTTTTTTTGTTTTTGTTTGTCTTGTCATGCCGAGTTCTTAAAAAAAAATTTTCCTTACTTTCAGGTTCAGTCAGCTAGTTAGTGGTGGTTAGGTTCGCTCTGTATGGGTAAGCTAGATGGAATATATCATAGATGGTTCACGATACTCTCACTTTCTCTCTTTCTCGTGAGCCAGCCAGTCAACCAACCAAACCAACACGCCGACCAAACGTACCGGTACAGGAGGGTCCCACCTTCCCCGGAGCCTTCCGGACCCCGGGATGTGGGGGAAAGCGACAAACAGGATAAAAACCCATACAGCCAAGATCGGCAATGTGGGGAAGTCAAAAAAAAAAAAAAAAAAAAATCTCGATCGGTACTTGTAACCTAAGTACGGTACGGTAGCTGTGTTGTGTCTTTTTCTTTTTTCTTTTTCATTCTCGGATGCTTTGTTCCGGTCGGGATTGCGCCATTGGGCGGTTAGTGCGGTAGGGTAGGGGGATCTTGTGGGGGTTGGGTTTGAGTGGCTGGAGGGCGAGTGATGGGGGCACTGTACTGTACTCAGTAGTCTACTTGTAGAGTATCATATGATACCGGTATTTCTTACTCGGTTCAGGTTTGGGGCCTGTGCAGGTTATGATATTGCATGATACACGTAAATTAGGCCGAATCGGAGGATCGTTATGATAATATTTACGATAACTTTTTGTTTCCGGCGAGTGAGCGTAAACACGGTATTCTGTCATACTGTGCGAGTAGTCGGTTGGCTTCGTTGCGGCTACGATATCGTGGATAGGGCTGACGGTTTGTTCCGCATCGATTGTGGGGCTTGGAGGCGTGAGGTCGTGTATATATCATATCGTACTGGCATGAACGAATGAATGGGCGTAACTCGGCTTGAGCGGTCTCGAGCCTCTCGTGAATCAGCATCGGAGTTTTTTTACGTCTCACTCCCCGATTATTGGGGCATATCAAGGGGATATATGTATCACGAAGTTGATGGCTAGGTAGGTTCCTGCCGTCGCGGGGAGCTTCTCCGCATTTCGCAAGTTAAGTTCTTTCTCTACAGTTCGTGGAAGGTTTGTATTTTGTTCTCTGGGGTGGGTGAGTGGTGGTCGACTATATTTCTCTCCGGAGAGTGGTGGTTGGTCTGAGCTCGTGAGGAATTCCCTTGGATATGGGTGAGCTCGATCGAACGTCCGGGGAGGTTCGGGGTTTGGGGAAGGGGTGATCTGATGCATCCTTGTTAAACGTCCTGAACAAGCACTTTCGATATGACGGGATATAAGTTACTTGCAAGTATGCGCGCCAACAGTGGCGCTTGGGGGTAGAGCTTCATTCAATGTCCAGGTACTGTACTGTACAGTACTGTACCGTGGTACATCTACTCGCAATCACTTGGCAGGACCCTTGAATATGGTGGTATACTGTAGTTACAATAACGCCCTATATCACGAAAGAACTCCACCAACGGGAATTAGCCGTACTAATACTCGAGTAGTATAATGCTATGGAGAGGCTGGTAATCAATAGCTACGAGCAGAGTGCAAGTCAAACGGGCAAACATCGGGGGGGGGGGCAATTCGGATAGGGCGAGGACGTTAAGTTAGTTACTCTTGGCGTGGAGCTATTACAAAAGGTGAGATGAACCCATCCACTTCTTATCTCCAGGGAGCACAGGTGCTTTTCACAACCTTACCAAAATACTGTACCCCCCCGATTTAATTTTTTAGTTATTTCCCAAGCTTTAGTTGATGGGGTGGGGGGATCCATGTGTACGAGTACTGGAAAATAGTCTTTGCCGCTCGAACCTTACCACTTGAAGTTTAGCTTTCTGGAATTTACCGCTCAGCAGTGTGGGTAAGGGAAAAGCATAGCACATAAAATTACCCCCTAAGGAAGGAGAGTTGTTATCAACTCTACCCTTGTAGCCTACCGCAACAGTGATTGACTCACCGCTCATGGGTAACTTATAGTAACTTATTTACCGCTACGGGAAGTTTGACACTCGAATTCAGCTTACAATAGACGGGGATAAATAGTAGGGGGGGGCGGGTGCATGGCGAACGATGCATCAAGAATCTGGTGGCAAAACACCAAATCTGGTAGGGCCATCATAAATTTACCCCTCCTGTTCGTTCTCTTCCCTACTCGTACTATGTTGACTATTGCAGGTTTCATGCAGTCAAGGGGATAACTGAGTATCTGTTAACGATACTCCAATAATGCCAGGTTTATTTGTTCGTTTCCGTTCCCTCCTGTTTTCGCTCCGCCGGTTAGGCAGAGTAGCATTTACGCGCTTCCCCGTTCATTCTTTGCCCGTGTATCGTGGTGTCAGACGTCTTTACAGGGGACATGTGACTCGAGTGATAATTCAACGAACTCCAGCGCGTAAACTTCACCTCTGTGGTATCATGTCAGCTCAAGTGCTGGTTTTCTTTTCATCCAGAGATGCTGAGCTTCCCTTTTGCCGATCATTGTCACAGGCCACACGTTGGGATGTCCATTTTTAGTGGCTGACAATCCCTTCCCATCCCTCAGCTCGGGCCTGGATGAGATTCAATGCATAGGTGAGGAATTGGACACTGCGCTGTCGCTCGCTCGCTCGGCCGTAGGGTCGTGGGTTGGCTGAGTTGGGTGGGTTGGATCATATACTTGCGATGAGGGTGAGAACTTGCACTGCGCTCTTAAAATGTACCGGCAAGCTGAAGGTATGAATGAAACAGCCGGTGCTGCAGTATCATTTAAAGGTCGGGGATGGCGGATGGATTCGTGGTGTCTGGAATGTGTAGCCGCCTCTTCTCCAGGCTTTAGAGTTGCCGGTGATGTAGTAGAGGCTTGGATCTCAAAGTTCTTTGACAGCTTACTGTGCAAGTATCGTACTGGTACAATTTTCCCATAAGGGGTAGGTCAACACGCCCCGTAGTAGATAGAGCCGCTACGGGTTGCGCGGCCTTTTGACTGCCTTTCGTTCATTTGCTTCACCTCTCCAAGGATTACCATTTCCGGTATGATATCTGGGAGCTCGCACCGAGTGTAGAATATATCCTCCCACGCTTCAAGAGCTTCGCTCCGAGATGCTCTCTTGTCGGTATCATATATCAACCATTGTGCTTTTAAATCTCCACAAAACTGTAGCCTAACGATGTTCTAATGCCTTGCCTAGTTGCCCCCCGGGTATGGAGGGGGCGGGGGATATTCCTCGCTTGTCTCCTCCCCGCTCAATCGTATATGTTCTACTACTACTCAAACTTCTTTGCGAACCTCAAAATATCATGATATTGTCGTACGTATTCAATTCCTGTACTAGTATAACTACCTTCCCGTGGGCCCTCTCACACAAATCGGCCGCGATGTGATTGTGGCCGTGGTACAACTTGAGGTGGATGTTTTCACACGAAATGGATATGGTACTGAACGGAAATGATGCGGATGGCTCTTGGGTGTGCTGAGATTGAGACCAGCGGATATTGTTGGTATAGCAGTTATGGTGGGGGTATATTCGAAGAGAAATGAGGATGATGAGAACGACTTTAGCGTGGTTCAGAAAGCAAACACGAACGAGATACTATACAGTTACATGGGTTATAAAGACAACATTACGAGTCCAAAATTCTCCCGGAGAGGCCGTCCCTCCATTTCACTGCCGGTATTACAAGAATACTAGCGGTGAAACCATTTCCATCCTATCATGGCAGTATCAAGCACTAGCAATTGGCCTTGTTAGGGAATTCGCCGAAAGGAAAAAAAAAAAAAAAAAAAAAAAAACCTTCTCGCCGACCACGGCACATTCACCGATGTTCGGGACCCTTACTCACTGGAGCGTGCCGCACGTCACTTGGATATTCCCAAAATATGTCACGGTACCCGGAGGCTCTCATAAGAAGACTTTTGAAATAATAACTTTTTTCCAATTTTTCTTCCCCTCCACCTCGTTCCCTGCAATGCGCAGCGTGTTGGCATTACGGGAGAGGCACATTTGGGGATTTCAGATTTCTGCCAGTCTTCCGCTTCCCCCAGATCCCTGGCTGCGCTCGACGCCGGGCAGGGGAACACACATACTTGTAACGATGATACCAGCAGTTTTCTGGGGGCTGACAGCGGCTTTCGCGCGCTCTGGTGGTCAGGGCGTGTACTTGTATTACGATTTGTGCTCCGCCTCGTTCCCCGTTTTATTTAGTATTCGGGTTGGAGGTTCGGTGAGCAGTGTTGGCAGGGACGGGTGGTCATCCCCGGAGCCTGGCTTGACCCGGGATCCGTGTTGGAAGGTGACGGGGATCAGTCATGACTGATCATGGGGATAGGTGAGCTAGGGTTGTGGCGAGGATTACCGGTAGGGTTGGAATTATTTTACTGTATGATGATACAGCATAAACTGAGAACAATTATCACAGGATGGGCACAATCGATACTCCACCGACTCGATCACTTACTTCTTCACTCTTTCGCCCTTTTTAATCTTTTGTTTACTCATTTATTTATCAACTTCTTCCTC